AAAAAAAAAAAAAAAAAAAAAAAAAAAAAAAAAAATTCTAATACCTAGATGAAGTGAAGAGTACTTTGGGAGAACTGTGACTCAGATTGGTGTGGTGATCCTTAGCATAGCTCCAGGTCTCTGGCAGGTGTAATGTAAGATTCACTGAGCCCCCTCCTCCCCTACCCCAGCCCTGAAGTTGTTATGGCCACATGACTGTGGCCAAAAAAAAATAACATGAGGAAGGGGCTTATCAGTTCAAGCAACAGTTTTAACAGATAGTATGACGTGATAAGCTTTACTTCTGTCACTCACCAGAAATGCTGAAATGGTGTCTGTTCTGTTGCATAAGCACAACAGAGAACCCCAGGTGACATGGGATGAGTATGTAATGTACAGAAGAAACAAACCTTGCTCTATTAAACCACCAAGACTTTAGGAGTAATTATGCAACATTAGCTAGTCTACCCTCATTGGTATACAAACTAGAACTGAGATGTTCCCTGAACAAAAATTCCAAAACAGTGGCTCAGGGACCAATGTTAGCTGAGAAACTGTTCTGGGCCTCCTCAAGAAAATATAAGACACCAGAGCTCACCAAGTGACCCACCTGAGAAAGTGATGACACATTTGAAAGAACTATTATTACAACAATAGAAGGTGACGGATACCTAGTGAGTTTACAGTGTGTGTGACCTAGGTTCTATGGCTAACGAACTTATTTCTAGCACTAAGAATTTGGAAGACAGATGAGTACTGGGAGCTGGTTGCCATTGGTTTTAAGAAGGCATTAAAATAAAGATTCTCAGAGAAGAAAGGCCTTCCAAGAGACTAGATGTTCAAAACCCTAAAGCCATTAGGCTCCCTCCCTTCTATGGTCACAAACATGCTGACCAAACTGCTCAGCCATGGAAAGAGGCCATATTCTCCAAGGCCAATATCATATAGGTGTGGCCCAGCCAAAGATCATGGAAAACTGCCCTAGGGGGTGTGCAGGTTATTTGCTAGTGGTCTACAATAGCGAGGTAAGCGCAGAAACATTATGTTTAGAAGCTTTTATAGCAATTTCAAACTGGAATTCTGTCTGCTGAATCTAGTAACAATTTTTAAATTGGATTTTTAGTTACTATATTTGCAGGACAAAAGTGCCAGCTCCAGGGGCACAACAGACCAAGCTTGGCTACTCATCCCATAAGGCCAATGCGGACAAGCAGTGGTGAAGGCAGGACAGCAACTTCATTCAATATGGCCATGCTGGAAAACACAGATAAGGTAGTTGAAGATCTGTCTCTGAGAGGCTCACAGAAACCTTGGGATTTTTATAGAAAAGGGAATCAAAGACGAGAACTGAGGGTTTATATAGCTGGCAGCATACATGGGTAGGCCTGGTCCAGTCCTGAGCTGGGTGATCAGTATCTCGGGATGGATTCTGTGAAGTCCATGAATAGCCATCACTGTCTCAGGGGACAATTCAGTTCCCAGCATGACATGATGGCTACTGTTCTGGGGAGGAAGCCTCAGTTCCATCATGGGGTAAGTGCTCCAGCTGGCAGAGGCTGGGTGGGGTGGCCTCGTCATGAGGTGGTCTGTGAGGCTCTGCTTTTCTTAGAATCCCAGGTAATACAGGTTTAGGACAATGGCTGGAGACTTCTGAGTGTTGCTCCAGGGGGTCTAAAAGCTGGACAGTCTAAAAGCTGGCACTTAAATATCCCTGTGAATCCCGAAAATTAGTTACTTTTCTCATGTCCTCAATCTTGAAAGGGGATGAGCTAGGCTGGGTAAATTTAGAGCTAACAAACTTTGTTAACAGAGACACTTAGAGATTAACATGTCTACATGTACAACTGAAAAGAAATCTAACTCCAAGTTTTGAGGCACTAGAGGAAACATAAAATGAAGACAGAGAGTCCAAGCCCTATCCTGCTTTTAGTTAATTACTGGGCATCTGTGGGTCCAGCCTCTAAGTCCCTGCAACAGTGATAGGATGTTTGTTTCACTTTCCCCACAATTCATTCCTATTGTCTTTATCAAATATTCACACAAAACTGATTTTTTGTTTTTTGTTTTTAATTGACGTACAGAATGCAGAGAACAAGACTAGACCTCTGGCAACATGCGTAGATTGCTACAGTCTAGAGTCTGGTATGTGTCCCCCATTCTTCTCCAAATAGGAACATTTATATATCCCCGCACCACCCTATATATTCAACAGGGGTGGAACACAGATAACTTACGTCCAGACCAGGTAAAAAAGTACCACGAATGAACCTTAGTCAGAGATCCTGGACTTGGAGTTTGCTGCAGTGCCTGGATGACAGAAAGGCTGAACTGTTCAAATGTTTCCAATTCTATATATATGAGAAATGCTTCTCTACTTCCTTCCTTGAGTTGTATATGGTCGTGACTTCATTTGGCCAAGAAAATGTGCAAAGTGACAACTCCTAAAAGTCAGAATACATGAGTTGAGAATCCTGAGATGCTTTCCTCTGCTGATGACCGGTAACATTCAACATGAAGTCGTCTTTGTCAGCCCAAAAGTCCCAGAAAGATCCCAGCTAATGCAGTCTGAACTCAAAATAAACTTTCTTTTAAATTCCTAAAGGGCTGAGGGTCTTATCACAATACAACCTACTCCAAGCATATCTTGACCTTATTAATGGGTAAGAGGAGAGTACTTAAAAATAAGGATATTTCAAAAAATGCATAAGAAACTGACCCAATTCTACTGTAGGGAAGATTCTAGAAGGAAAGATGACTAAAGTGCAATTGACTCTTACACAATAGATGAAATATCAAAAGAAAGAAGTCACAGACAACTGTTTGTCATGGTATGTTTGCTAATACATACACAGAGCCTGCAGTCTGGAGAAGGGCCTTTAATTCTTAAGCACTGATCAGATTTCATACAATTAGTCTCATCCCTACAGGTACTCTAAAACGGTATGCAGAAAAAGGTCTTTTGTTCCCCTTAGTGCTGGGGATTGAACCCAAGGCCTTCACACTGAGTTAATCCTCAGTGTTTTGTTTTGTTTTATTTTGTTTTCCTTTTCTTTTCCTATTGAGACAGAGTCTCACTGTCACTAAACTGCCTAGGCTGAACTTGAACTAGTGATCCTCCTGCCTCAGTCTTTCATAGTGTTGGGATTACAGGCCTGCATGCAAAGACAATTTAAAAGAATGAAAGAAGGCAGGACTTGAAGTTTGCCCCTGGACTAGAGTGCTTCCAAGTAAAATGCAAATGGCAACTGAAGTGTTTTTTATTAAACACCAGAATATCAAGAAATTCACAAGACATAAAGGAGGAAGTACTTCAAGACAAAAATACTGGTCTTCCCATTAACTGGGAGACAAGCGAGGATTTGCCTTTAGGTGTTCCTTTGTTTGTGGAACAGCTGGTAGTCCCCCTTACCTAGGACAATCCTATTTTGGGGGATAGAGTCCTAAATACAATAATATACAACAGCTCTTCTGCTTTTATATGTCTGAAAGACTACTGTGCTACCATAATCTTCTTGCTCAAAAAAAAAAACATTCAAACTTTGTGTCTTTGGATACATTTAAATTTTAGCATATCTGTCAGCAAGCTTTTCTGGGTGACCCTTTGTGAGTTTCTCCTTTACAGGCCCAAAATTTCTTTATGATTAAATATAAAATTAATTGCTTTCCCTGTCAAGAAAGAGGAAGTTAATTAAATTACTAAATTATATCAAGATCTATGTGCACAATTCTCTGGGAAAAGACACATTTGATATTTTGCAGCAAATGGGGCATATAATACTTACAAAGTTTCTGTAAGAATATTCCATCAAAAATTAGCTTATACAATTTAATGCTGCTGTTGGAAAATAGAACCTGCTCACTGAACCATTCGCAAATAAAATGCTGATTAGATCTCAACAGTGTGAGCTGAAGGAGGTAATAAAAGGAGTCAATGTATCTCCACTTTGGAGTCCTTCAAAGCAGGTAGGAAGCAAATCCTCTACCTGTACCCCCTTCCTCAGTACAGTGGGTACCTCGGTTGATTCTGGTTGCAACCCAAGTTGGAGGAAAATGGAATGAAATTCAATGGTTAGGTTCAATGTTGACCTTCTGGGGAAATTTGATTCAGTTCTTGTTCAGTTTAGTCTGCAACCAGAATCCCAGAGAGACGAGTTCGTGAACTGAGGTACCACTGTACTCAACCCTCAAAAAAGGTAAGAAGAAAGGAAGAGGCTGTCCAGACTCCTCTGACACATGGCAGAAAACAGTCTCACAAAGACAAACTGAAAATCTATATGTGTACTATCTGGATGCTGTCTACCATCACTATGATACAAGAAAAAAAAAAAAACTGGAGGGCAAAAAAATCTTTGTGATACCTACTTGGAACCCAAAATTTGCACCACTACTGAGGATACGCACACTGGCCGAAAGCAGGTGTTTAAAATCACATAATTGACTTTAGGCTCAATTTAAGTGTTTAAGCATACAATTGCAATCAGTTACCCTACTGCTGTCATGAGCACTCTACCCCGTTTGAAACGACCTGTGTGCTGCTCTGACCACATTCTGTTAAGAATCCATCACGTAAGTCAGTGAATGTAATACATTATATTAACAAAGTCAACGACAAAAACCATATGATCCTTTCAATAGATGCAGAAAAAGCATTTGATAAAATTCAACACCCATTCATGATAAAAACCCTGCAAAAAATTGGAATAGAGATGGTCTATACCTCAATTTAATAAAGGCTATTTATGAAAAACCATCAGCCAACATCATATTGAATGGCCAAAAACTGAAAACCTTCATGTTAAAATCAGGAACAAGACAAGGATGCCCACTATCACCACTTCTCTTCAATATAGTTCTGGAAACATTAGCCACAGCAATTAGACAAGAGAAAGAAATTAAAGCAATAAAGATAGGAAAGGAAGAAGTTAAACTATCATTATTTGCTGATGATATGATACTCTACATTGAAGATCCAAAAAACTCCACCAAAAAACTTCTAGACTTAATTGACAGATTCAGTAAAGTATCTGGATACAAGGTGAATACCCAAAAATCAATAGCCTTTCTATACACAAATAACAGACAGACAGAAAGAGAAATAAGGGAAAAAATTCCTTTTACAATAGCATCCAAAAAAATGAAGTATCTAGGAATCAATCTAACAAAAGAAACAAAAGATCTCTACACTGAAAACTACAGCACTCTGAAAAAAGAAATCGAAGAGGATATAAAAAAATGGAAAGATATCCCCTGCTCCTGGGTAGGAAGACTCAACATAGTGAAAATGGCCATACTACCAAAACTGCTATATACATTCAATGCAATGCCAATTGAAATTCCAACACTATATTTCACAGAACTAGAAAAAAGAATCCAAAAATTCATTTGGAACCACAAGAGACCTAGAATAGCAAAAGCCATCATAGGCAACAGTCACATGGCACCAGGTGTAACAATTCCCAATTTGAAACTATACTACAAAGCCACTGTGATAAAAACAGCATGGTACTGGCAAAGAAATAGGCCTGAGGATCAATGGAACAGACTGGAAGACACAAAAACAAATGCAGATGTACTCAACTACCTCATCTTTGACAAAGGAGCTCACCATCCTCAGTGGAGGAAAGATAGCCTCTTTAATAAATGGTGTTGGAAAAACTGGATATCAACCTGCCACAGATTAAAATTAGACCCTTATCTTTCGCCATGCACTAAATTAAAATCCAAATGGATTAAAGATCTAAATATTAAAACAGAAACATTAAACTTGCTGGAAGGTAAGTTAGGCAGAACTCTGGAAGACATTGGTATAGGAAAAGACTTTATGAACAAATCCTCAGTAGCACGGGAACTAGCAGAAAGAATCAACAACTGGGATCTCATCTTACTAAAAAGCTTCTGTACTTCAAAAGAAACCATTAGCAGAACTAAGAGACAATCTACAATGTGGGAAAAAATTTTTACCAGCTGTACCTCAGACAAAGGACTATTATCAAGGATATATAAAGAACTCAAAACAATCAGTCCCCCCAAATATAAAGACCCGATCCAAAAATGGGCATCCGAAATGAACAGACATTTCTCATACAAAGAAGTAAAAGCAGCAAGAAAATATATGAAAAAATGTTCCACATCACTGGTCATTCGAGAGATGCAGAAGAAAACAACACTGAGATTCCACCTCACCCCACAAAGAATGGCTGCTATCAAGAAATCACACAATAACAAATGTTGGCGGGGTTGTGGGGAGAAAGGAACCCTCCTCCATTGTTGGTGGGAGTGCAGACTAGTGCAACCACTATGGAAATCAATATGGAGATACCTCAAAGAGCTTGGACTGGAGGTTCCATTTGACCCAGCCATCCCTCTGTTGGGTATCTTTCCAAGAGAACTAGAAGAATCATATCACAGAGAAGTATGTGCACCCATGTTCATAGCGGCACAGTTTGTAATAGCTAAATCTTGGAAACAACCTATTTGCCCATCCGTTGGAAACTGGATAAAGAAGTTGTGGTTTTTCTATAAAATGGAATATTACTCAGCCATAAAGAGCGAGAGAATAGATTCATTCATAGGAAAATGGATACATATTGAAGATATACTCCTAAGAGAAATAAATAAGTCCCACATGTGTAAATACCAAATAGTTTCCCTGGTGTGAATATTCTGCAACAATGCATAAGATTCTAATAAGATTACTGACATTTAGAAATGGGAGGAAAGGAGCTAAAGGTGTAGGGAAGGTGTGATACGTAGGGGAAGAACAAAAAGGGAAAAGAAAAAAATGTGAGAGAATGAAAAGATGAAAATAAAGTGTTTGTAGATGGGGAGGGGAGGAGGGGGTGAAGGGAGGGCAGAGGTAAGGGGAAAAAATGAGAATCAAGACTTGCCATGTAAAGGTACATGATCCCAACAATGAATGTAACTGTACTGTATCCCTAAATGTACCAATAAACTCAAAAAAAAAAAAAAGAATCCATCACGTAACAATCTTAAATTTCAAGAAATGAGATTCTCCTCCAAAGCGCTGATGTTGGATTGAGCCTGTTAGCTTCTTTCAGTACATCGTACTCTACTGTACACCACGCTGCTCAAGCGGCACAGCCGAATGTTTCACCTAAGGACGTCTATGCAACTGGCTCAGGCCTATGTATTTATCAATTTGTTAGCACATGGAGAAAGAGGCTAACCCGCACCAGCCTCTGGTACCTGGTAAACTACTACTCAGAATTCGGAGTCCTTTTTGGACACAAAGTATAGGAGAGAGGATGAGTCAGGAGAGGCTGGATCTTGGCTGCTCCAGTACAAGACTGAATTTATGTGGAGCTGTTCAGTGAGAGAATACAATTTTTTTTTAGTTTATTTTGTTTGCAGTACAGGGGATTGAACCCCAGATCTCGCACATGTTGTGTAAGAGCACTACCACTGAACTACATTCCCATCCTGTTTAAAATGCTTGCAAACAGGCTCTAAGTCACCAGAAGTTGCCTTGAACCTGGCGATCCTCCTGCCTCAGTCTCTGGAGCAACAGGAACTACGGGCATGCACCACCACGCCCGGCTAGTATTTCCTCCTAATTTGGCACGACTGTTATTTTGCTTACTTTATCACCAAATATTTAAAAAATCAACAAATATGTGATCCAATATAATTGGGAGATCTAGCTTTTTTTTTTTTTTGCTTACTTACAGCAATACAATAATAATAGCATTTATACTGTACCCCTATTAGTCTCAGGAATAGCGCCACCATCTCCTAAAAACAGGACTAAGGCTTTGGCACGTGTGGAATTTGAAGTGCACAGACTGAATTCCACTTCTCCAGAGAATCACCAGAGACCTACGGTTCTACCTCTTCTCTCAAACTTATTCCCTAAGCATCTTTCCAAACGCTGTTTCCAACAACCATCTTTCCCTACCCACCCGTCGCTTCAACACTCGAGCACCCCTTGTCCTTCACTGTCATTTCGCGAGCGCTCAAAGAAAGGGTCTTTGCTGAGTCTTGGTCACCCACCACCTCATTTCCTCCCCTTGCTCGCACAGCAGGGGAGACATAAGACAGGAAAAGGCCCCACAGAAGCGTCCCGGTGAGGTCCCTTCGGCACCCCAGAACCCAGAGCTGGCGGGGCAGCCCTAGATACAGCAGAAGGGTGCCCACACCTACAGGCGGAAGCCGCAGCCCACGCCTGACAGACCGACCTACCTGCCCGGGACCTGCGCGCAGCACCTGCGGGCTGGACTCGGACCGAACCAGCACGGAGGCAGAGGCGGGACAGCGGCCGCGCTCCAGGTCGCCACCTATCCACGCAGCCAAACGACCTTCCCAGCCAGCGTCCGACGGCCCAGCGGCCCACTCCGCCTACTGTGCAACAACGTGGGGGGGGGTGTAAAAACTCGAAGCTCCGCCTCCTTCTCGTACTTCTTACGTAAGAGAACCTCCAACCAATGGGAAACGCAAAGGGCGGTGCGCGAGCAGCCCCAGGTGACACACTATCACCGAGTCCTCCCGCCGGCGCGAGCGGGCAGAGCAGTTGCTGGGCCAATCAGCAGCTTAGGGGCCGAGTAGGGAGCGGGGAGAGAGCGGGCAGAGCGGAAGCCCAATCAGATCGGAGGGTCCTGGAGTGACAGGGCTGGCAACCAGTGGGTTTCCGAGCGCGGCGCTCAGGGGGAGTGCCGCCCTGGGCCAATGGGCGCGAGCCCACGGTGCGGAGCGAGCGCCTCAAATGCTCGGGTTTCTCAGCTGATTGTCTCCAGCCGAGAGTTGTTTTTTGCAGCCTCGGAACTGAGCCGCAGCCGCAGGAGGAGCCGAGACCCCCG